CAATAGGATGAATTAGAGCCTACAAAATATTAAGTATCAATTCATACATATTCAAACAGAATAGTATGAGATTCTATTTTCCCATTTTTTGTATACAGTACCTTGTTTCCTCATATTGAGCTCCGGAGTATAATCTAATGGATACCACATATATATTAGGTTTACCATTACATAGCGTATCGTGAAGCGAGAATCTGATTCCCTAAGATTAATCGTTTTGTTTGTCTTGTAGCTTCGCAAATGAAAACGTTTACGCCTAGCGTCCAAGGAACGTGCAGGGTAGTTGATTGGCATGGTGCGTAAACATTCGCAAAAAAAAACTAAACCAGAGACCAGACAACATTAACTGGTGACGTTCGTATTGTCTCAGCGTTTGAAATTTGCAAATCTGACCATTTAGGAGCCTATGGTGAGGTGCACCTAATCCGTAACCCATTCAATCGCAAATACATTCCAAATGATGTTATTGCACTTAAAGTTATTGACCTTGATCACAGACGAGAAGGATCGAAGCAAAAATTTAGAAACGAGGTGAGTCACTTCTTGCTTGTCACTTATTGTTGCCATTGATTTTTCTTGAAACAATTTTACATGCGGTGCTGCAGAGTGCATAATGCGGCACCCATGGGAGGAGCGATCTTAGTTGACCAACTGTACTTTACTCGTTCTCATGCTCACGAAGACAGAGGTACTCTTTGGTATTTCTGCCCTTTCAGATAGGTCTGATGATGTTGCGTTTTTGTTAGGCTTGCCCTCATTTTGAATGTTGATTTATTAGCAAGAAGCAAAGCACAGCGCTCGAGTGGAATTCCTTATTGAAAAATTATGAAAAGGTCACGAAGAGTGTAGCTTCAATAAAGGGGTTGATAAACAAATTATATGGTGCAGTACTGTTAGACGACTAACAAAAGCCAGAGTAAACCCATCCAGGGCATGTTTGGCGAAGATTAGCATGGAATAGTGTTCAGTTGTATTCAATTTTAACTACAGAAGAAGAGGGGGTCGTTCTTATTAATGTTCCACTCTTACGCTGCGCAGCGAGAAAGAAGGATAATCCTGAATTCGGGACAAATAATTGTTTTAGGTAGCACTACAAAATGCGTTAACTCCACAACGGCATCCGAATATCGTTCAGTGCTTCGGATCAAATTATGAAGTTGAGTTGAACCAGCTTCAAATTTTTCTCGTATATGTCACAAGCTTCAAACTTTTTCTCGAATAATGTCATACGGCGATGCACGTACAGCTCCGTACAACTGATTAATCGGTACGAGCGCAGTCTTCTTCTGGCAAATCTGTGTAGGCTCCGCGGCTATGGAAAAAATGTCACCTACACACCAATGAGACAAAGACGCGCATACGCCAGTCTTAGATTTTCACGAAAGTCCGTGCGCGCCACTGGTTTTGCTCGGTTTCACAGGAATCGTATTTTTTTATCTGTTGGAATAGCTTGTCACTCTAATCATGGATTCAGTAAAACTCACCCATTACGCATTAATAAAAATTATTGAAAGAGTGAGTGCTGATTTTGGGAGACTAAAAAAAGAAAAAAGATGCCGAGGAGCACGCACAACGAACTGTCGTCAATGCGACAAAGGAGTTCCCGATAGGACATTGATTTCTAGATTTAGGCATCTTTCCGTAGATTTAGGCATCTCTCCTATTTGAATTATCTTGTTTCATAAAAATGTGTAGGACTTCTTTTTTAACTATCTTTTCTTACTGTACTGTATATACATCACATTAGGAGGAACATCTTTTTCAGATTCAAAACATCGCAGGGGGTTAGGAGTACGAAACGCCCGCGACTATTATCGTCCAGTTAATGAGAGGAGTCGACTTCCTGCATAGCATTCACGTGGCACATCGAGATCTTAAGCCAGACAACTTAATCATAAACAGTAATGGTTGGCGATTAGCTTGAACTTGTAGTAGTAATTGGTTGAGATGTATCTCTTCGTTATTAGAGGAGAGTTAGTATTTTGCAGGTCTACTGAAGATCACCGATTTTGGGATGGCTACTAAATTAGAGATGACTTACACTAATGAAGAGGTTCCCCTGGATCGTATGTGTGGCACCCGTGACTACATGTCACCGCAAATGTTCAAAAAGAAATACTTGTGAGTGCAAGCTTTCCTGCATCTTCTATAGATCATTTGAGATTATTCGACGTCCACCATGTCATGTAATTGCGTGTAATGGGTTTCACCGGTTGTAGCAGAATTCCTTGAGCGATTCTCTTGAATGGGGTCGACGGACTACTTGAACTCGGCCCTTTAAGCTGCCTCACTCGACGCTTTCGTCTGCGCTCTCTCATCACCTTATCAGCGGCTCATCACCACTGCGATCTCACACATTCAAACTTTTGCCACAATGCAACTGGCTCACCCACCTCGGATCCCTCCCCCTTACAAGGCTTAGTCCTAAGGCTCTCACCTCCCTCCTTGGGATTTGGAGCCGAGCCAGGCGCCATTCTCTGATCGTCTGTGCTCTCCGCCATTCGTGGCAGGACCATAGGACGAAAGTGCAAGTAGTCCGTAAACCACTATCAATAGAAAGAGTTTTGTAAGAGTGACATTAGCTAATTACGTGATTACTTGCATTAGCTAATGGATGAAGATATGCCTTATCTTTTTTCGAAGCCTGGCAAGAAAAGGGCAGATAGCTGTTCTTTCCGCCGTGGATTTTTCAACTACTGTCATTTATTTTCACAATCTATGAATTCAGTAAACCGCTGCTGATGCAAGAATACTGGATTTGCAACCCAAACTTATAGCATTGAGTTGCAGTGCAACCACGCCACAAAAAAAATCTAATTTACTCGTGTTACTCAGCATCATCTTACGTGATTTTTTTAACGATTGTCCCCTTCTAAAACCAACTTCCAGTCCCTTTTTTCTTTACTGACCATGAGGGCTTCTAAAAACGAACATAGTGGGCGGTCAGGATCATTACATCACTCCTTATTGACTTGACTCGGCGAGGGCGATCCTTTCATGGGAGGCGGCGAGAACGGGTACAAGTTCTTTTCAAATCTAATAAATGGTATCCTTACACGGTGCGTAGCCTGAGATTGGTTAAGCGTATAACGTTAGCCTGATGCTAATTCAGTTGATTGTTTGGTCCAATTGACCAAAGGAAGATTATTGCCGTCATTAGAAGCTGAATTCAATTTTCGACTTGTGGATGGTAAGGCCTGTGGGACTGACACGCCCATTCAATACATCTGACTATGACTCAGAACAGGCGCACCTAGGTCAGCCGTTCTTCTCCCTATTGGGGCGGTAGCTCCACGCTTTTCAGCTTAATTTCTAAATTGCGAATCTGTCGTTTCTCTGAGCACTGTCTCTAGGCTACGTCGTTTTATTTTTAAGTTCAACTTAGAGAGGTACTCAGAAGCAAGCGAAAACTCATAGGGTTCGAGGTGTATGTCCGCAACCTACTAGCTACGTGCGATCCATTAGTATATCTCCTTTACACACCTTACATTTTCCTAATGGCTGCCGCGGTACCTATACAGATGCTCTTTGGAATACGTGTTTAGATGTGAATGAGAAAACACGCCCAACAAGTAGTGAAGTCCTCGACCATTCGTGGTTAGCCTTATGACACATCTTTCCATATGTGCCAGATATTTTGGTCATGTTACACGTGCGGAATATCGCCCTCACTGCTTCTCTCACACTAATGGGTAAACTGGAACTCATGCTTCAAAAACGATTCCATATGACTATTCAAGGGTTATATACATATTGAACGACAGGGTTGGTTATAGATTATTTAAAGGCATATTGATTTGATAAAAAGCACTATTATCGTCCATATCGATGTGTTTCTTATTAGTAAATCCTGTGCATTTCATGTTCCCACCGTTTTTTCAACCCAATACATCGCTACATTACTCATTCATTGAATTATTGTGAAATAAGAATCTCAGCAATTGTTATGTGTGACTCATTTCGTTAGTCGCTCCCTTCCCTTTATTCGTGTGCTGCGGTGTGCTTGTACTGATGTTCTCATGGATTCGATGTATCATTAGTGCTTTGTTATCGATTCTGCCCTCTGTTATAACACTTAGAGTCTTCCGTCTACATTAACTCAGTTATATATGGTGACTCTCCAATTTCTGCACCGGTTCTGTAGCCTTTATGCCGACCAATGGGTATCAGATTTTGCGCCATCTTCGTCGTTTTTGATTAAAAGTTATTGATTTACGAACTTTGCAGAATAAATTGATATACTCAACTCAGAAACTCGACAAAGGTTTGGTCCGTGTACTGCCGCAATTAGGGTCGCCAAGTCTACTTTTTTTTTTTTTTGACAGACGAAGACAGCTAGTGCTATTCCAACTTTGCTATAAGTGGGCCGTATCTCTAAAAAAGGCTGTTTGAAGCCAGATCGCAGCGTGTTTATTGGAAATCGATTAGCTTTCCCACTCTATATAATGTTCAAATGTTAACAAGATATGTTTTCAACTCGACAAGGTGAGTGCATCATCGTAGGGTACCCAGTGTATTGTATGCTTTTTGAGGAATACCCGTGCTCACACGAAACTTGGAACCAGCATTTTAGGTGTGTCAAGTTTAATATGAATTTTGAGGTGACCTAATCAAATAAAATGAAAGAAGTCAGTGTAGATCATCCATTCTTCAAGCACCCCTCCTTTTCTGACAACTCAAACCCCTATTCTTTGAGGGAACCGCTTGCATAATCAAAAAAGCAAAGGTTTTTTGGAAAAAAAAATCCCATGGGAGCCTATTTATTAAAACCCGAGGATAACAACCTACCTTCGTTCTTCCCACTTTCGCATATTTACCAACAAATGATCCAAGCGGGGTTTACTTTCTACTCACTAAACATGTGGAGAAGTTGTCTGCTATGACATGCGAATTAATTAAATGAAGCTAAAATATTTGGGATTTTTGCCCCGAAGGCTCCTCTTCTTTCTATTAATTAAATATTGTTGCTAAAATTTATAGAATCTAGAGAAAAGCTCTAGGCGCCGGGTGCCCCTCTCAATCCTAAAAAATGGAATTACTTTTTATAAGTTGTTTCAAGAATGAGGAAGCCGATAAGCGCCGAAAAGTTGCCTTAAACGCTCTTGCAAACGTTTGGGAAACCTCTTTTGCTTTAGCAACATATTTCTGAAAGTACTAAATTGTCAAACACTATTCCGATTGTTAGATTTAATTAGCTGGCGTGCTAGTCACTGTTCCCGCAACGCACTACGTCAGAGTATGTCATCATGTTTTCGAAACTCCTGGAAATCAAAACAAGACTTGTGACATTATCGAAAAGTGCACTTGTGTGAGCGTCTATTAGTTTCAAGTAAACAGTTATTGCCACGTCCTGGACGATGTGCCCCTTCCTGTTTCAAGATACGTACTCTTGAAATTTCGGTGACAAAAAACTTTATCACGTCGACTTTATCTCTTCAAATAATAATGTCGTCCTCTCATTATCTTCTTTCTACCTTTTCGATTCTGTTCTATTTATTCTTTTCTTTATCTTTTATCCTATTCTCTCATTTTATTAATTCTTCTCCAATTAACTATGCAAAACCTATAATTATTGCACAGATAATAGCATTCAAATATATTGGAGATTATAATATGTTATCAATATGAATTCTTAATCGTGATTTTGTCTGCCAATCCCACTACCAGCCTTGCCGACCACCTAACTAATCTAAAACTTGCCCGCAGTCCTTCGCTGTAACATTATTAGCTCTCTGCTGTTACTTCAATAATGCGATCGTGTCATCCTCAATCGCACAATCCGCTTGATGACGTTCCTCGTCCATACAAATCGTATTTTAATCACAGTTCCTGCACACACTTCGTTTTCGTCGATAACGTAATCGGAGTAAAGTCGCGGTATCCTCTATCCGCTTTTGATGATATTTTTAGAGAACGTATTGCTCTCTGCTGCAACTGGGAACGTCTTACCGCGGTGAGAAAATCGCTCACAGTTACGCTTTGGACGTTCCAGATCAACGGTAGGTGTTAGTCAAAACTACAGGGTGACCGACAGGTCAGTCATACCCAACAGGTATCGGCTGTAACCCCAGGTCGACCCCGCCTTCCGCATGGATCACTGCATGCAAATAACTAAGCATGTTATAGGACTGCTCATGTCTTTTGTCACCATCGACTACTATCCCCATAATGTCACTTCTTCCGTGTATATCTACCATATTCAATTGTGATGAACAGCGTATGTCCTGTGGTTGCCGCTCTGACTCATTCATATCGACGACATGTTCGCCCACGTCGAGCGACTCTGGATATGATGGGTCGTGTACGTGCT